CAATAGCGTGTGAAAGCGGGACGGAGATAGCCGCTCCCCATAAATACGGAATGAACCGCTCCAGCTGGCATGTATTGTATTGTATTGTATTGTCTTGTTCAGTTCAGAGAACAAGTGCTCCAAGCAACAAGTGATCTGAAGAAGCAAGAACTGAGAAAAGGAAGCGAATAATAAACGCGAGAAGTCTCAGCAAGTGAAATAGTGGTTTTATTCCTGCAAGTAGCACCTACTACGCCTGACATAGTAAGGGCAAGCTCTCAACGGCAGTCATCATCGTCCGGTCAGCGCTCTCGAACACACACAAACGCATACAGTCCACTGCAGTCCACCACATTTTCCTGGTCCTTCGAGCCGGATCACCACATTTTCCTGGTCCTTCGAGCCGGATCACCACATTTTCCTGGTCCTTCGAGTGCCGGATTACGGGAATAGCGAAGATGCCTGTCACCAGGTCGGAGAAGCTACGAGGTGCCGCCGCCGCGGCTAGCGCCGCCGCCGCAGGGAGAATTACGTCGCCGCCGGTTCATGGAGGAAGTACTCCGACGGAAACCACGGATACTTCATCAACGCTNTAGAAGGACCCTGTATATTTCTTTAGTGCCGTGCTAATTTCTAGGTTAATTGTTGCGTTTTGAGACATATATTTTATGTCAGGTATATCTTTCCTTGACCAGTCCCCGAAGGCAGCGCCTGTTCACAGACATGACGTGTACACGTGCTCACGGCCCAGGCTTTAGAAGATATCTAAATATATAAAAGGAGAAACTGACTGACTGACTGACAGATCAACGCACAGCCTAAACGGCTAAACGTAGGCACTTGAAATTTGGAAGGGACGTAGCTTAGGTACCGTAGAGGTGCACTAAGAAAGGAATTCCCGAAATTCCCACGGGAACGGGAATTAGCGGGAAAGACGGGATTCACGCGTACGAAGTCGCGGGCGGCCGCTAGTGTAGTATAATTATCTCACCGAGCAGGTAGACGCCGTGGTCGTGCATCTTGTCGACGGAGGCGCGCAGCGGCTGCGGGCGCTCGCGGGGCAGCACGTGCAGCGGCAGCAGGCGCGGGTACGTGAACACCACCGACTGCTCCACGCCCGCCGTCAGCGCGCGGTACATCGCGCACGAGCGGTCGTCGCACGTTATGTCCGGACCTTGGAATAAAATAATCGTTGGTCAATATCCGGCTCGAAGGACCATGTGGTCAAGAGACGTTTTTGTTGCAAAATCACCTAGCTAGTGGTACTAGATAAGACGGTCACGAGCGGTCTTCGCACGTTATGTCCGGACCTTGGAAAATGGAAAATAATCGTTAGTCAATATCCGGCTCGAAGGACCATGTAGTCAAAAGAGATATTTTTGTTGAAAAATATCTCATAGTGGTACTACATAAGACGGTCATTTCATTTCACGTTATGTCCGGACCTAGAGAGTGTTAAACCGTTGGTCAATATCCGGCTCGAAGGACCATGTAGTCAAAAGAGATATTTTTTTGCAAAACAACACCTAGTAGTACTACAATGCGCACGAGCGGTCGTCGCACGTTATGTCCGGACCTTGGAAAAAAAATATTAAATCGAAAAAAATATAATATCCGGCTCGAAGGACCATGTGGTCAAGAGACATTTTTGTTGTAAAACATCACCTATTAATACTACTTAAGACGGTACATCGCGCACGAGCGGTCGTCGCACGTTATGTCCGGACCTTGGAAAAAAATAATCGTTGGTAAATATCCGGCTCAAAGGACCATGTGACCAGGACTCAAAATCATCTAGTGGTACTACATAAGACGGTCACGAGCGGTCGTCGCACGTTATGTCCGGACCTAGGAACAAAAAATATTAAATCGAAAAAAAAAACCGGCTCGAAGGACCATGTGGTCAAAAGCAATATTTTTGTTGAAAAATATCCCGTAGTGGTACTACATAAGACGGTACATAGCGCACGAGCTGTCGTCGCACGTTATGTCCGGACCTTGGAAAAGAAATATTAAATTAAAAAAATAATAATATCCGGCTCGAAGGACCATGTGGTCAAGAGACATTTTTGTTGCAAAATCATCTAGCTAGTGAATAGAATAGAATAGAATAGAATGTATTTATTGCTTTTTCTGTGTGGTACTACATCGCGCACGAGCGGTCGTTGCACGTTACGTCCGGACCTTGGAAAAAAATAATCGTTGGTCAAAATCCGGCTCGAAGGACCACGTATAGTCGCCACAGACTATAATAAATTTGTTACAAAATACTATTTAATAATTAAAAATACTATTGGTGTAAAGGTGATGTCCCAAAATGTATGGAAACTGGGCCAAGACCCTGTACACCTACGAAAAAAAGGCCTAAAATACCTACAATATTTTGTTATTATCCAATTTCTTTACAATGGCTACGTTAAATTGTACAATCAAAAAGAAAAATAATAAAATAGCAATACTGACCAACAAAAACCATCATGGTGGAAGGATGACATTTTGATGACGTCTGTCACTTTTGACAATTAGAAAATCGCATCTTGCAGTTTTTATTATAATAAATAAAAAATAAGAAAACGTATGAATGACGTGTCGATCAATATCAGATCACTTGGATTTTAGTTGATAAACTCAATAATCATAAAAACTACAAAAAATATCACGGTTATATCTAAGTGACAAATGAAATCTGACAGTAATTGACGTTTACAGTCTATGGTTAGTCTTTTTTTTCATCTGACGCCATCTTGTATGCCAATTGAGAGTGTTAAATTCTTAAATAGTTTTTATTTTTGTACAGCTAAATTATATGTCAGATATAGTTATTTGTATTTTTCCCTTCAGCAGATTTTTTGAGATGGTGTACAACCTCTGGGCCAGCATTGGGACATCTCCTTTCTTGAACAATTTATGTGTCAATAGAATGCTATTACATAACATGGGAAATTTTAAACGATTAACTTTTAAACTGTTAATAAAATCCGGCTCGAAGGACCATGTACAGTCGACACAAACACACAAGATCACATACCTCCCGCGAGCGCGTCAGACCGCAACAAACAGCTGGTGTATAGCGGCAGCAGCTTCATCGACTCAGGCAGCACGAGCTGGCCCGCCGACGATGGCGATGCGCAGTGCCGTCTGTAGGCCGCTAGTGAGCGGGCGCAGCGCGCTGATAGGGCTTCGCGGACCGCGCGCGGGCCGGCGTCTCGCAGCGCCCATACAGCTGGAAGGATAAGGGAGTTACTTTATTGAGTTATACCTACGAGTATACAGGGTGGAATTTTGTAATGCCACCTGGAGGGAAAATACTCTTAGTACTGTAAATAGAAAATTTTACTGAAAGAAAACATTCCTTTATTTTAGAAAAGGAAGAGAACTGCATTCAAAGAATTTCAAAAATTTACCGAAAATCACTACCATACCATACAATTTTCTGTACATAATTAAAATAATTTAAGATTTCATGGTTTTCCTTTCATTTGCTTAATCAAGTTTGTTAGAGAGATTTCATCCTAATACTTAACCCTAACGATCGATGTAATAAAAATACAGGGTGTAATTTTTAACAGATTTTAGTTGTTTCGATTCCCGAGTGTGGCAAGCAAATTTTTGGAAATCTTTGAATGCAGTTCTATTTCTTTTCAAAAATAAAGGAATGTTTTCCTTGAGAAAATTTTTCTATCTACAATATTAAGAGTACTTTCCCTCCAGGTGGCATTACAAAATTCCACCCTGTATACGTGTGGAAACGATTCAAGAAAGGCAGCGTCGCTAGAAAGCGGGCTTAGCAGGCTGATAGGGCTTCGCGGACCGCGCGCGGGCCGGCGTCTCGCAGCGCCCATAAGGCTGGAAGGATAAGGGAGTTACTTTATTGAGCTTTTCCTTTGTACGCGAGGAAGTTGTTTAAACAACACAGATGGACAATACTGATTGTTAGTTGTTACTTAACAAAACAGTGCCCCTCCCTGGAAATTATAAACTCTCTCATCTGTGCGGAAGAGCAAGAGAATTTATGGGATAGTGGGCATAAAGGAAGACGCTGGATGTAGGCTGCTATCAACCGGCCAATCTGGAAATCATATAAGGCCATTGGGGGAGGCCTATGTTCAGCAGTGGACGTCCTATGACTAAAATGATGATGCCAGGCGAACACCTGCCTTATGCTGCGGACACAAGGCTCACCTTGCTTCGTGAGGAAGTTGACGCAGGTGTCTAGCTCCATGCTGCGGTAGACGTCTGCCAGCTGGTGCACCACGTGGAGGATGCCAGGCGAACACCTGCCTTATGCTGCAGACACAAGGCTCACCTTGCTTCGTGAAGAAGTTGACGCAGGTGTCTAGCTCCATGCTGCGGTAGACGTCGGCCAGCTGGTGGCCACGTGGAGGATGCCAGGCGAACACCTGCCTTATGCTGCGGACACAAGGCTCACCTTGCTTCGTGAGGAAGTTGACGCAGGTGTCGAGCTCCATGCTGCGGTAGACGTCGGCCAGCTGGTGCGCCACGTTCAGCGCGAGGTTGAGGATGCGCAGGCGCCGCTGGCCGGAGCGGTGCGTGTAGAGTAAGGCTGCCTGGATGTAGACGCCGTCTTCTGCTGTTAACTTGTCGTCGTGCTTGATCTCGATGCCGATCGCCTTGTCCGCGTCTGGAGATAAGGTCAAAAGTCGGATTATCTAGGAAACAAGGGCAAATGTTAGTCGCTCACGTCTTGTATTGTGTTTTCAAATAATTCTGATTTTATACTTCTCCTCAATGGACTCCTCCATAAAATCAGAATTATCTTTAATTTCGAAAATCAACGTGACGTGTTAACATTCTTTGAAAAGAAACTAGCACAATAAACACATCATCGATGTAGGTTAAATGGCATTTCCTCGCTCAAAATCAGCATTAGTGCAAAAAAAATTAAAAAATTGCCATTCAGCACACCCAGATACCCATAAAAACGCAAAATCATTCATTGATTTCAATCACTTCAGTTCCCTAGTCTTCATGAAATGAAAATTATAATAATTTTTACTTGATAATATCCCTTCGACAGCTCCATAACTGTAGGACTTACCAAAGTAGCAAGTCATTCCTATCAATGTGAGATAATGATGATTGACGGACAATCTCTTTTACGCAAAAACTACTGAACGGATTTTGATCGAATTTCACAGCATAACTTTTAAAAATCAGAATAACATTAATCGGCAGCTGCTCAATAGAGCTACAATTCATAACAATAATAAATCGATTAATACTCACCAATAGCAGCCAGCTCCACATCCGTGGTGTTAGACATGAAGAAGTGCCCGTAGAAGTCTGTGGCGCGCACGCCGGTTGACGTACGTACGCGCATAACCGCATCGTGTGCGGTGGGCCGCGATACTACGCGCTTCACGTCCGCTACTAGGCGCGGGCCGTCGATGTCCGCCTGGATATAGAGAAATTAATGGTTTTAACAATAAAACAACTTGCTATCTCCGCTTGTACACAAACACATAGTTTTTGACAGTAGAACAACTTGCCGATTATCATCACCATTCAAACGTGATTCCTCCAAAGATTTTTAGGAAACTATAAGGTCCTTATTTCGGTACAGCAATTTACTATTGTTTTATAAAACTATAATTCAATGTTTTTAGAAAAGTTGTGCATGAGAATGATTGGTTAATGTTGTCACTCAACCAATTTATGAAACATAATCAAAATTCTTGCGTAGTTTTAAAAGAAATAGTGACTGAAAGAGTGGAAAAACCAAACTGTTAAGTAAACTCTAGTTATTCATAATCATCATCAAAGTATACTTTGGACAATCGAGTGAAGACTGAGATTGTTGGGGAGACGAAGAGGCGAAAGACCTGCGCGAGCTCCAGGTTGATAACTGGCAAAGAGAGGTCAGACCGTAGTGGAAATTCTTATTTCCGAAAGCAACGACTCGCTCGGATCGCTGCGCCATCTTAGCTGTCATCAAATACCAGAAACCAGTGGGCGTAGTGTGACTTTACATCAAATGCATACGACATTGACTGCGTTAAAAATATGTCTCCCGTCTTGAAAGTTTTCGCTAGGGGCGCTGTACAATCCGTCATACATTTTAATGTCACTTTTTTATGCAGTCACTAGTGAAGACGTTTGATGTAAACTCACACTAAACCCTCAGTTTTGAGCGCACCGTGAAGTAAGTGTACTTGCGACGACTCACTCTGGGTCGCTGTTCCATCTTAGCCACTTAGGTATCAAAGGAAGAAAACCAGAAACAAGTTCGTTGAACTCACCGTGAAGTAGGTATACTTGTGCAGCTGTCCGCCAGTGAGGCGCGGTAGCTGGCCGATGGTGGCGGCGTCCACGTATGCGTTGTTGGCCACGAACAGCTCCACGCACACACCTGCCGCCGAGCACAGCTGGCCCAGCTCGTTGTATAGAGTTGTCTGAGGAGCTGGAGCAAGGATATTCGATTAACAATCACCCTTACTTAACTGACAGATGAAAGTAATTGTGTCTGGTCCTGATCAGTACTACTACACTCGCGAGCAAAAGTATGGAATCACTTACATGAAGTTGTTTCCACGCGATCTTGTGTACTAACGAATTTGTTAGGAACAAAAAAAGTGGCACCATTTTAAAGATTAAACTTTTATCTTTAAATTGATACCAAATTCATTTAAATCACACCGGTATTTAAAAAGATACCCCGGCTGATGTGAAGAAGTAACGAAAAAGACATGTATGAACTGTTTGATACGTCGCGAGTTGTGGCCTATTTAGCCCCTATAAAAGCACGCGTTTTCAGATTTTTGCTTTCACATGTTGTTTTATACACATCTCCGCTTCTTTTGACACTTTACCTGGGATTCTACACCTTCAGAAGCAGCACAAATCGTTGCACTATTGCAAGAAGGGCTCAGCCAGCGGGCTGTCGCACGTCAGCGCCACATAAGCCAGTCCTGGGTTTCGAAAGTTTTAAGACGCTTTCGGGAGACTGGTGGCTTTATCCCGAGACCAAGTTCTGAACAGCGCCGGCGCACATCGCAGAGGGAAGACCGTTTTTTCATGTCAACCTCTCTATGAAATCGTCATTTGACTGGAATCGACGTCCAGTAAGAGCTCAGAAATGTTCGTAGGATAGCTGTTAGCGAGTAGACAGTTTGTCTAAGACATAAGCAATAGAATTTAACTCCAAAAAGGCCTGCCACAGGCTCGAAACTGACGGCAGGTCACCGATAAGCACGCTTTCAATTTGCTCGTACACATCTCGATGTTAAGTCGAGCAAGCCACCCCCATAAGCCACTGTTTCAGCGAACCAGCACTGCACAAATCGCTCCTCAGGCCGCCTATAAACCCGACCTCTTCGACTGCTGCCCTGCAAACACAGTTTGCATTCATCGGAGAACAGAACTCGCCTCCATTACTCGCCTTCCCATCGAGATGTGTACGAGCAAATTGAAAGGGTGCTTATCGGTGACCTGCCGTCAGTTTCGAGCCTGTGGCAGGCCTTTTTGGAGTCAAATTCTATTGCTTATATCTTAGACGAACTGTCCACTCGCTAACAGCTATCTTACGAACATTTCTGAGCTCTTGATGGACATCGATTCCAGTCAAATGACGATTTCATAGAGAGGTTGACATGAAAAAACGGTCTTCCCTCTGCGATGTGCGCCGGCGCTGTTCAGAACTTGGTCTCGGGATAAAGCCACTAGTCTCCCGAAAGCGTCTTGAAACTTTCGAAACCCAGGACTGGCTTATGTGGCGCTGACGTGCGACAGCCCGCTGGCTGAGCCTTTCTTGCAATAGTGCAACGATTTGTGTTGCTTCTGAAGGTGTAGAATCCCAGGTAAAGTGTCAAAAGAAGCGGAGATGTGTATGAATCAACGTGTGAAAGCAAAAATCCGAAAACGCGTGCTTTTATAGGGGCTAAATAGGCCGCAACTCGCGACGTATCAAACAGTTCATACATGTCTTTTTCGTTACTTCTTCACATCAGCCGGGATATCTTTTTAAATACCGGTGTGATTTAAATGAATTTGGTATCAATTTAAAGATAAAAGTTTAATCTTTAAAATGGTGCCACTTTTTTTGTTACTTACCAATTCGTTAGTACACAAGTTCGCGTGGAAACAACTTCATATAAGTGATTCCATAGTTTTGCTCGCGAGTGTAGCTAAGACATACGAAAGGCTAATTAACAAAAAGTAAAAGTGACTCCAAAAAAGAGCCAGTCTAACCAGAGCCAAAATTAGGAAACGTATAAAGTTTTCCGGCACCGACTCACCAAAATATCAATTATGGTATAGCCTGACCAGGAACATAAAAACCCTCGCCATGTTGCGGAAAATTAATGGTACTAATTTCTTTTAATGGCAACAGTAACTGAAAACTTCATTGAGATGTCACCTTGCATGTCAGTCTATTGCTGTCAAAGTGTAAACAAACTTTATTTTAAATGTGTGCAATTGATTTTGTGTNTCCAGTTGCCAAACAGAACAGCCGTAATATCAGTTGATCGTCTAAAACCAGCTTTTTTACTTAACGGCGAAGAAGACAGTTGCGAAGACTTCCGCGAGCAGCCGTCACCAGCAACATCGACGAGTCCTGAATCTTCACCAGAGCTAACTAAGCAGACAACCACCAGCATCGTCAAGAAGACCCGTTACGGACGAACTTCAAAACCCGTCGTTCGATTTAATTCATCATAATAATTTTATTGTTCTATTTATAGCATGCCTTCTTAAATTACATAACAATGCACTTGACTGGTATTTTTGCTTATACGGCAAATACCAGTATCAGTTTACATATCGCACCTGTAGTCACAATACTTGTTTTTTTTAGTTTCCCTACGTGATTGAATCAGAAATGAGGAGAGCCACAGGAGAACCAAAGTGACCGACATAGCCCGCAGAATCGCTAAAATCAAGTGGCAGTGGGCGGGGCACATAGCTCGCAGAGGTAATGGCCGCTGGATAATGATCCAGAATTTAAACCTACTTCTCTGAGCCTTTTTCCCATGAAAAATCACTATCTAGTTCGTCAAGTTCATCGAGGTCATCAAGTTCTGGTTGTTTAAAGGCTGCCTGAACAAGAGAGTACCTTATTTTCTAAGAAGTTGATTTATGTGATGTAGTTTTATAGTAATTTCATTCATTCATTTGTGTAACGTATTTATTTCTGATCGAGAATTTACATTTATTACTGTTACCATTGGTACCACATAATCCAAATTATTAAGTTTTAAGTTCATTAAAATTACTGATTTTTCTGTGTTAGTTTTATTTAATAATAATCATTTTTTTATTTTTCATCGTCAAATTTATATGAAAATAGTGACATTTCTACCGGAATTAATAATACGACATTAACACGTTTTTAATTGAAAACTGTCACTGTCTCAATTTTAGTGGAAAAGTGACACTATTTTTAGAGAAAAAATTAAATATTAAATAAACCATTATGATAATTTGAAAGATAATTATATTTCCATAAAAGCCAAATAAGCCACTACTGGTATTTAACAAAAAACAAAACATTTAATAGCATTTAGCTCATTTTGCAAGGGTTTTAAAATTTGAGCATTTCAAATGCTTTTCCTGAAAAATCGACTTTTTTGTATAGTGACAGTTTGATTATGAACGTGCGATATATTTAGCTTAGCTTGACAAGTGAACTATCTGTCCCTATTTTAGGCCAGATTACGAAAATAAGTAAAATTTTATTTTTAAATTTAAAATTATCGACACGATTCTCATCATTCATCATCATCACCATTTCAGCCATATGACGTCCATTGCTGAACAAAGGCTTCATCCAATGATTTCCATGTTGATCGATTGTAAGCGGCCTGCGTCCAGCCCTTTATATTGTCGTCGGTCCACCTTGTGGGTGGACGTCCCCCACATTCATCATTATCATCAGGTAATTTACTCTCCACTGCGGTTACTACACGACCCTCTCCAATTTAGTAGGTACCTACTTCTTTATTAAAATACAACTTTTTATTTGGCCGACTATTCTGTGTGTACTGTAAGTTATCTGGAGCGTAATTTGAGGGGCTTGTATGAGCATGAGCCCGTAATTATTACTTCTCTATAGCCTATGGTTGACAGCGCTTGAAAAATTTTTTGTGAAGTGTCGCAGTTGATATATTTAAAGTTAAACTTAATTACTATATATTCTGGTCATTATCACATACACACACATGACGTATGTTACGTATTTTCAAATCACTCTATTATAGTAAAAAACATAACCCTCCTTCTGACGCAGTCCGGTAAAAACAAGCTCTAAGCAGTTCCTTTAAGTTAGAATTTATTCGAACCACTTCGGAAGATGCTACGATCGCGGCAATTTGTAGCAAACATGACCGACCACCATGATAGCACATATGCTACGGAAATACGACTACGAGAGAGTACGGAGTCGGAGCAAGCTACGAAGCTGCTACAGCTATTGACTACGACATTATTGCTACGAAGTTTGGAGCTGTGGTGTTAGAATCGCTACTGTTTATGATTGACGAGCTTTGTAATACAATTTTGATACTTAATCGTAGAAAAATCAATTTAACGGAATTGAAATTTGAATTTCACGGTAATAAAAGCCTTTTGTACAATGCAAATAGATAAAAAATGTGATATAAAAGATCAACTGCTTATATTGAAATATATTAAAATACCTGAAATTTATTCCAGCTTTGACATCATTTCTTGGAATAAGTCTGAAGAAACAGTCTTAGACTTTTTGAGCCTCTGTCTGTATATTAAGCTGGTAAACATTGTAAATATTATGTAAAGTATCGCGTAAATACTTCAATGTATGAGAATAGAAATACAGTAAAAAGACCTCACGTTTCACATTGGGAAATACTATTCAATTGGACACTGTTGACCGAACTTTTGCGTTTTAACGACCGTTCGTAGTGGCGCGTGCGGCACACGAAAGACAAAAGTATTGTTACGTGCAATTGAATGTCCCAGTTCACGAAATATATTTCGTTTAGTCAATATCGAGTAACAATAGTTTCCATGTAAAACGTGCCTCACGATCATTGAATAAAACCGTGCGGTGATCACTCACAGCACGGAATAGCAATAAACTCGGCTTGTGAATGATGATTGCGGTTCTAGCCAGTTTAGTGATAGTAAAGGTGTGGATGCAGTAAGCTCTCATGTCATCATCATATTAACAATCATGTATTGAACACTCATCTTTTGAATCAAAACAGAGAAACTTGTTGAACATAGGCTTCCACTAATGATTTCTAGATTGGCCGATTAGAAATCTGCTTCCAGATACAACTTTTATAAAGTCATCTATCCACCATGTAGGTGGAAGTCACACCCTGCGCTTGCTGATACGTGACCTAAATCTTTATTCTTGCTGCCATCAGCTTTTAGATCTTTCGTGTTGAATTTGATATTTTAAGGCTGAGTTGCACCATCTTAATTTAACTTTAACAAACGTCAAAAATCTGTCAAATTTCATACAAAAAGCACTGGTTATTGTGATTGTTATGGTCAAAAAAAGGTGATGCAACTCAGCCTAAGGCTTAGTGTACCATCTTATTTTAACTTTAACAAACATCAAAGTCTGACGAACTACATACAAAAACGCCGGTTAAATTAATAGTTACGGTTAATGTTCTGGTGGTGCAACAGAGGAAAGGCTCGTGTATTGTGGGTATTTAATTTACAATGGTTACATTTAAGTGACTCATAATTTTTTTTTCTGGACTACTTGTCCCATCCAAAGTCCGAATATTTCAGAATCTGGCCGCAAAAAACCTACTTAATTGTCCTTTACTATGGTGCTAGTCAGTTTATTCGTCTGATTGTACTTCACGCTCAAGTTGCCGTATGACTGATGTAACTGCTCTTGGATCCATACGCTTGTCACATTTATGTGTTATACGACGGTGTCATGGTTTAGTTGCACCATTAGATTTTAATGCTATGTTGTCCACATTCCAATGGGAAGAGTTATTTACACATTTGTAGAATTAAATGACTGAAACAATTTTCACGGCGACAGTAATGTATGACGAGATGAAAGGTGCTGCGCATAATGTGTTCGGTCAAACAATCATTTGCAATATTTAATTTAGTCAAGAGCATTGTTAATTAATTAAATAAACTATACCTAATCTATACTAATATTAGAAAGCCGAAGAGTTTTTTTGATTGAACGCGCTAATCTCAGGAATAGCCTGTACTAGTCCAATGGGGATGTTGCCTAGGTNTTTTGTGTATTAAATTGCTAAAAACTTTTTATAGTCGTGAAAGAAAAGTGGTTCACAATGTGTTAAAGTATTTGTCGAAGAGAAATACTAAGGGTTCGGACAATATTTTCATTGAATAATGTTTCCGACAAAGGTTGTCAAATTGACTGACATGTTTATCGTATAGTACAGTCCACTATGAAAATTAACTGTGGTTTGTTTTAACTACCTATTTTAAAGTTTTTTGTCCCTTTGTAACTATTGAATTTTATGGAATTGGGAAAGAAGTACCGAGTTTGAAGCGTTCATGAGCAGACATTGCAGTTGAATATATTCAAGTTCTGAATTTGATTATTGATGAATAATAAAATAAATCGAACTAGCTCGATTGATGGTTTCATTTAATTTATTTAAACCAGGTTACCTATATAATCTTTATTCGTTAATTTATGAAAATATCAAATTAGCACGTAATCCTGAATCCTGATACATAAAGTTTGCCTATTAATTTAACACAGGTACGACTGTACTCAGTGTTGCACTATCAAATGCAATTGACGCGCCTCTATGCCAGGGTTTTTATGTTCCTGGTCAGGCTATATAATATTTTCTACTTTTGAGTGCAATAAATGTATTGCAATCAGCAGAAATAACACACTTGAAATATTAAACGGTGGGCTAGCGACAAACTGTTTAAATAATTTTTAACAAATTATGTATGGAATAGCTGCTGTGTCCGAGGTCTTTAGACCTAGCCCAGCTGGCCTGCCGTGTCTGCTAGAGAGAGCCCTGCTGTTGTGTGCTCACCCAGGATGGTCTTCTCCTTGTCGGTGCCGAGCAGCTTGCGGTCCTCGCGGCTGGCCAGGCGGCCGGGCGCCGTGCCCAGCGACGGCAGCGACGTGTGGAACACCAGCAGCTGGCCTGCTGTGTCCGCTGCCTTCAGTGCCTCTAGCCCTGCCTGGAAGGAAAGATATATTCATTATTATCCACCACAATTTAGACAGGAAGTTTATTGTATTGCACACCACAAATCAGACAGATGGGAAATTGGGTCACGCTCCAGCAGTGATGAGTAAATGGCAGTGGGTAATATGGTCTCGGTCTGCTTCGGCTATTGTAACAGCAGCCACTCCAGCAGCGGCACAGACAAGTCCTTCGCCTACAACTAAATAGGGTCAAGTAGGGACTTGACCCTTGACCTGCACAAGTTACAGTTCATCTGCGGCGGCTGTTGAAATAATGGCTTTCCAGCGGAAGCACACCTGCTGCCTAGTGGCCTGCTGTGGAACAGAATTGTCTCGGTTGTCGCGGAAAACAACAGGAAGCTAACAACAGCTGCTCCAGCGGCAAATCGAGGCAATACCAGGTCTCTCGCCAATACTTCTACAGCCAAGTGTAGTCAATACCTTGCTTTCACACACAGGTGATCTACTAACCTGCACGGCGGGAAGCAGGATGGTCTCGACTCTCACTGTCATCGTGAAACAGCTGCAAAAGTTGTTACAAAAACCGACACTCTAGCGACAGCGTACGCATTTTCACTCGTAAGACTCTCTGCCTAAGACTCTCTCTCTCTAACTCTACAGCTGCTTAAGATCTAAAACCTGCCTTCACGTACTAACCTGTACAGCTGGCAGCAGGATGGTCTCTGTCTCTTTATTGTCCTTGAACAGCGCGGGCAGCTGCTGCAGCAGTTGTTGCAGCACGGGCCCGCTGTCCTCAACGCGCACCAGCATATCCTTTGCTTACAGCTGAATGCAGTCAAGACCCTGCCTTCACACTGACCTGCACGGCTGGCAGCAGGATTGTCTCTGTCTAAGGAGACGTAATGGACAGCCGAGGCAGCACACACATCTCTCTTTCCTGTAGCTTACTGGAGTGAAGCTTTCTCGCACTGCGGGCAACAGGATGGTCCCGGTCTCTCTCGAACAAACGCAGCAGTTGTTACAAAAACCGGCACTCCAGTGGCAGCACTCTCAATTCTCTGTTAATAACTGGAGTCAAGCCTTCACAGACTGACCTGCACGGCGGGCAGCAAAATTGCCTCAATCTCCTGGTCTGGCGACCAGCCACTTGTGACAGTAGGTACACCTGCTGACTAGTGGAATCAGTCCTACCTGCACGGCGGGCAGCAGGATTGTCTCTGTCTCCTTATTGTCCTTGAACAGCGCGGGCAGCTGCTGCAGCAGTTGTTGCAGCACGGGCCCGCTGTCCTCAGCGCGCACCAGCAGTCCTTCCAGTAGAGGCACGAACATGTCTTGGACGTCGCCCACGGAGAACATCTGTGGTTGCGCTAAGGAGCCCTGCAAGTAAATAGATTATTACTAGCCCTAATGCACACATCAAAAACTGAACACAGTCCTTCGAGCCGGATCAATATTTTGCCCCCAATAGTTAAAAAGGCGCATCTAAATTTGTTTGTTTTGGATATGAGTTAAACTAAAGGACAGCTAGGAATTATCCTATTAAATAATTATTTGAAACTTTTTTATCTCTGTTTTGACTTGGCATGCATTATCAGGGCAGTATTATTAAGGCTGTACGCTAAAACTTGCGCGGAGGAAGAATGGGGATGTTGCCTGGGTCAAAAAGCAAGAGTTTTAATTAGTCCGTCAGTTAACTTATCAAAAAATACTCTACACGTATTTTTCACTTTTTCAAACTAATGAAAATTTAAAGAGATAAAGCGCCTCAAAGTTCATAAGAAGAGGCCCGTGACGTCAACGCTTGCTTAAAAATGCCACACGTTGTGACGTCGTGCGCAACTTCAACGCACCATAACTATGTAATTATTTGTTAGATTGACAAATAAAAATATATGTGTCCAATATTTTTTGATATTAAACATTACGGACTAAAAAAATTTTTTTAGGCAACTAGCCTATTTGAAAAAAATATTTTTTAATTAGATAGCCCATTTATCGAGGTATAGGTTAAATAACATTACTATACCAATAGGAGTAGAGCATCAATTCCAAATGTTGCGAAAACGGGAAAAATATTCAAACTATTTTAACGCGTACCTACGTAGTCGCGGGCACAACTAATTTATGATACCTAAAGTAACGTAATAGATTCTGTATTAGAACTATTCTTCTTGTATTTGTACCTACTTAAATAAACGAATACTCGTAAAACTTTCGTTATTATGTAGGTGTATCTTACGTAACACTGTAATCAATCTGAGAATTGACAGACACATCAACTAATAGAACTTATTACTTATGAACTAATAGAATTCTATGAACTAGATAGCCTCATCTAATAATTGGGTACTCCTTTAACCTAACCTAACCTAATAGAAATTCGATATGAAATTCAATACGTTTGACTCATAGATTAAGTATACTATAACGAGGATGCCTGCAGCTCCCGGCGAAATTCTAAGCGATCCGTCGAACATTCCGGCTTTATTTCCCGGGTGTAATACCCAACTTACGGACAAAGCATCCCTTGTACCGTCTAATACCGTACATGGTTTCACACTGCGTCCGCCGATTCACGACACCGCCACTCCTGCTACGATCAGGGTGTATCTGTCTGATGAGGCATATTGCGGGATAAATATGATAATTAATTTGTGAAAAACGTTTTGTCGAGGTTCGTGATGTAAGATAAGAAGGAGATATCTGTTACAAAGTAACTACGATCAATACGTGATAACAATATTACGGTGTCCAAGATTACGGACAAAAAAGTTGCATCTTCTTTGCACTACGTTTTTTGAGAGCCAGTTACTTAGTTTAAAAAATATATTTTTGGATGACAAGTAACATTCAAAATACGTCCTCCTGGGGGGAATCTTGAACAGGTGTATAGAACACTCAAAAGCCCCCTGGTTCTAATGCATAGTCACGAGTAATTGAACCAATTAATTTTAAACCTTATACTTTAAATTTAAAGTTCAAAATCTATTAAGAAAATCCGTATCTTTGTGGTGGATTGATCTTCTGCTATCTGTACACGATAGGACGCATGTTGTCGTGTGGCGAATATACGCCACAGAGGCTGGAATGCACGCGACAAGTAGGCAATGCCGTTGGTTTTGATCGCGCTCGTATCACGTTTGTTGGTAACGTATGACGCTGCCAAACTATATCGTCTGATATAAAAAGCGTCTGACAGTTATTATCTTGCTCAAAAACTTACAATAGATAAAGAGAGATGCATATAATATAGTTGATCGTTGACTTATCACACTGCGCCAACGAGGACTCTATTCTTCGCACTGCGTCGGCGAAGAGTAGGTATTTTCTAGCTTGTCACAGCGAAAAGAGCTGTCAAATATAATTTTGCTGAGCGATGTTCGCTTCGCAGTCTGAATACTCGAATAGACTATCCTGCTGAACTTCTCTCTAACCCAGCGACACAATTATTGAAAATTGAAAAATTATTGAATCATTGTGTTACGTTTCTAAAGCCAGAAAATGTTTGACAGTCGTTTCATCGTGGGACAAGTGCCATAATATCGGGACACCTGGCAATACTAACTACAACATAACTGTACGCGTGTACCGCATAACCTCGACCCAACTCCGGACATCCCACAAGTTTCCCTATTCGAAGACCGTTTCGGTCTAAGCGACTTTACGGCCTTTTGGTTTGGATTATTCCACTTTGTTCCTCTGGGTGATATCACCAGGGTGAAGAAAGTGGAATTTTTAGTGTTCTCATTTAACCTCGGAACCATTTTTTTAAATTCTTTCATTCATTTATTTTTTCCAGGTGAATTGAGTTGATTGAAGCGGTCGCCTTTGTTCACCTAGGAATAAATTCAACCTGTTCAGATGCAAAACCTGGGTGAATTCTTCCTAGGTGAACAAAGGTGACCACTTTAGTCAAATCAATTCACCTGGGTGATATCACTGGGGTGATATCACCTGGGTGAAATGATTCCGAAGTGAAATAAAGACACTAATTTTTTTTTTTCACCAAGGTGATATCATTGAGATGAACAAAGTGGAATAAACCTTTCGGTTGAAATTGGGTGGGCTGATGTGTTTATACGGCAATAATACACTCTTGTATGTTACAATCGGGGAGATTGGGCTGGATTGGTTTTAATTGTTTCAAGTTTATAAGTGGTTTCGTCGTGGATTATAAATTTTAGATTTTTGTTACTAAAAGTGGTGTGTATTTGGTTATTATAATGTGAGCAACTCGTAATTAAAGTAAACGAAATTAAATCCAAAACAACAAACAATGAAAAATCAAAACTAAGAGTTTTATAGTTACCTACTTATAATATTTTTGTTTTCTAGAATGTACTATTGTACCTACTACCTTTATCGTAACCGTAAGAAGTTAGTTTAACCTACAAAAGTGCGATTCTGTTCTATGTACCTACTGATTTTTGTGTTATTAGATTTCTCTATTTATTAAGAATTCAGCATTTCTCTGGAACAAAACGTCTCATATTCAACCTGTCATATTATGTAACCAAGACTTATTTCCAATCATTTCCAATAAATAATTATACATTATAAAATATTCTGGGAATACGTAAAATTACTTGCCAAACTGAAATGGCTAACGCTTTCGCCCCTACATGAAACAGTCACTTTGTCAAGTTAGTTTGTACACAAAGTCACTTGTTTGTCTGATATTCTAAGTAATAACAATTTAGCTTGTTATACTGTCAACTTAAGTAGACTCGAAGTTACCTTCTCCAACTTACCTCAAGTCCGAGGCAGAGTGCATCCAAATCTGATACATTTCAAGTTTCTGCGCTTCGGACTTCATAGACTTGTTCAAGTTCCGCTTTGTCTTTCGAGTTTCAGTTAATTATAACTGGAGGAATAAGACAGGGTTATTTCTCAGTTTACTTTGCTTTAATTGTGTTTTATTTTGCTGATATTAGACTCAGGAATATCCCCTAAGAATGAAGTTCATAATGATTCATTAATGTTAAAAGTTTAAATCAAAACATTACATCAATGTCACTATGACAGCAGCTCATTGGCTATAATAATACTGTTAGAGTAGGCGCACACCGTTGATTTTTAGTTGGCCGATAGTTGTGCCCGATTTTAAATTGTATGAAGAATCGGCCAAATCGAATCGGCGTAGTGTGCGCACTCCCATACATGCCCATACTGATCAACTGCCGGACTAAACTATCGGTCGACGAAAAATCAACGGTGTGCGCCTACTCTTAGATTGTAGTATTTTTCTTGGAATGACGAAATCATGAATGAAATATTCTGAAAGTATACTTAATTTTATTAATTAATTAATTTACAATATGCACTCTATTGTTAACCAACTTCTTTTTACTACTGCACTTTATGTAGGTATGTGTAAGTAATAGCTGTGGTAATAGGTACTCATTTTTTCGTTAGTTTCAGCAAAATTATGTCCACTTCTGGACAAAGGATTTTCAATAGGTACAGGATACAGGTGCTTAATAACGCGAATAAATATTTTTAACTCTCTCGTAAAGCTACTTTTCGGCAGAAATTTTCCATCAGTCCATAACTACATCGAGGCATACCTACTTACTACATCATTATATCACCTCATCAGAGTTTCACAGCCTATTATTTTAAGAATATCAAAAGTTTAATTTCTCGGCTGACGTTAACTTGTTGAGCTGCGACACAGCGCCGTAACTTCATTCTTGAGCAGCGAACTTGCGAAATTTATATTTCACGCGTTACAAAGTTAAACCTGGCTCGCAAACTCTGGGAGAGTGCGAGCTTGTTGATAGGAGAGAGCGTGAGACAAACCAAACGCGAATGTGGTCGAAAAGTCCTTTAAAGAGCCTCCGTTGTTGAAAACATTAGCAAAGAGGTTTCAATACTTTTTATGCGTAATTTAAGAAACAAAACAAAAACGTTACTCTTTTGTTTGACACTTCAGAACTACATGCTTTAGTTTTATTTCAGTAGTGTAGTGTGCCAGTTTTTCTATCCGTAATTTATGACAAGTGATTAGAAAAATTATCATCAAAATGCGTTTTTTACACAGTAGCACAACAGTAGCTTGACTCTCAGTACAGTTTTACTATTTGTTAATGGCAATAATAGTAAGTGAGTCTTTGAATATTATTTGACTTATCTCCAAATGTCAAGTATCTTCAGGTTTATAGCAGGTATTATACAACTTAATTTCAAAATAAGTCGCTATCGCTCGTCACCGTGTTGTATTCTCCAACAATGGTGGGAGAGAAGGGAAGGCGCGACACTTTAGAATTTTAGAAAATTCCCGCGACAAAACTTGCCGTTTTGGAGTCTTTCGGACGGTAACAAGCCGTAATTTATCGTTGACAGTGTCAATCTAAGTTTGCAATAGTATCAGTGAAGTTTCAAATCGGAATGAGGAAGTATAACGACATTAGATTTGAATACCCCAACTAAAGTCGCTGACATAGCCCGACGGATTAGCAAGCTGAAGTGGCAATGGGCAGGGCACATGGTACGCAGAACTGACGGCCGATGGGGCAGCAAGGTTCTGGAATGGAGGCAGCGTACCAGAAAACGCAGCGTGAGACGTCCACCTATATGGTGGATCGACGACATCGTAAAAGTAGCAGGGAAGCGCTGGACGCAGGCCGCTACCAATCGATCAACGTGGAAAGCATTAGGGGCGGCCTATGTTCAGCAGTGGACGTCCTATGGCTGAGAAATCAGATGATGACGACACCAACTGTTCAACGTTTTTAGTAAAACTAATCTTCAAAGTTATAAAGTTTTCATTTCGTTTTTCAAGTGTATGTTTAAGTATAGTTAAGCATACAACCGTAGTTTATAAAATGTATGTTATTATGTGATTTTTGCACTTGATATTTTCACGCTTTCTCCCCAATTTGTGACAATTAACTCTAATTAACTCTTGAGGTGAAAATAATTGGCTATTGAAATTGACCTCACACCTAATTAGGAATTACACTAATTAGTCTTATCCATGTTTTTCGCAAAGCCTGAAGTATTTAAAACATTAGTAGACCTCGAAATGAAAACTCAAATTTTATGCCTATACTCTGTGGAACAGCCTAAGCTGGATTGCACCATCTTACTTTAACTTTGACAAACGTCAAAAATCTGTCAAACTCCTTACAAAAAACACTTGTTACCGTCATATTTACGGTCAAAGTTAGGTGGTGCAACTCAGTCTAAATGGTCGCATGAAACCGCTGTAATAATAATATTGATGTCTATTGTGTCTCGATTCACTGGTACTTGAAGGGCTAAAGAGAATGATAGGTTCTGTAACAGTATTTTACTACGAAAATTCCAATTAACTGATATTAATACGTTAGCTTCCCCCAATGACTTCTACATCGCGCGGTTGGTAGCGAAATCCAGCGCCTCCCTGGTGCCTTTATCAGGTCGTCGATCTACCTTGTGGATGTACCGACTGACGTCCGACGACCGACGGATTGGGCTGGCCTATGTTCAGCAATGGACGTCCTGTGTTTGAAAATAAATGATGATGATGATGATGAATTACCTTTTTTTTCATCATCATCATCATCATCATTTCAGCCACAGGACGTCCACTGCTGAACATAGGCCTCCCCCTTTTTTTTAACCGAGGAAAATGGCCTATCCATACCTACCGCCGGGGGACGGTAGGTTATGTGGGGCTCGAATCCACTAAAAAGCTGTGGTGTTCCCTGTGCCGCATACTTAGTGGTCGGCGGCTTGGGTACCTACTAGAACCTACGTTAGCCCACATTATTCCAAAAAGTGGTCAAACTGCAGGAAGCCAATAGAATCTCGTAATATTCATAAATATGCTACCGTAGCGATGTTCGAATAATGCGATACAATTTATCCGTTGGATAAGCTAATATGCACATAATTTTTGTCTCAGGTGGCACACTCTCGGTATATTTTGCAAAGTGCACGAATAAACTAGACGACTAAGGGTTCTGTTTAAATCCTGAACTAGGTATGGATATGGTTTATTATACAATAGGTATAACATTGCCGTTCGTTCGTTCGTTTCAGCCAAATGACGTCCACTGCTAGACAAAGGCCTCCCTAAGGATTTCCACAACGACCGGTCCTGCGCCGCCCGCATCTGTTCGCAACAAATGCCGTTGGCTGAAGTCTTATCATAGTTCAGTCAATGAATGCCTTAACGACGGTGTAGAGAGAAATCCGTGGAACAAAATTTCTGACCTCGGGACTTTATTTAGCCTAGTTAGGTGGTGAACATAGCAAAAGTCCCCGCCCTTAGCCCTTGAGCCGGCGGGGAGAGGGGGGTTTAAAGGTATCACTTTTCGGTTTTTCGCTTAATTCTCGGAAACTATGCGTCCTAGTGACATGACTACTATGAACCAAAAAAAGCTTATTCAATTTGCTACAGGTGAGACCGTCAAGTTTTTCTATATCTTGTATAGTTTTTACGGCATCTGCTCTAGAAGGTCTGTAAAATTGGAAATTTTATTGTTGTCTTACATGTTCCTTTCAGGAGAAAATCGATTAAATCAACATTGAGCAAACACTATAGACATGCGGGAGCATGTTAAACCTAGTTCCAGGGAGGGGACTGCACCGTGCGTATATTTAGACGAACCAATTAGAGCCACTTTTGACTCCTCATCATTCAAAAACTACTGTGCATTAACACTTCAAATTTGGCTCATGTATTGAGACTTGCAAGATATACATCAGCTTCAAATTTCATAAATATACCTCAAACGGTTATTTAGGTATTGACGTTCAAAAATCGATATTTAGAGCACTAAAATCTATCTATCACATGTGAAATGTTAAAATTTACTGGTTTTTTATTTGTTCCTTTGTATTTACATAACTACCTTTCTGGATGCCAAATTTGAACCTTCGAGGTCATCTGGAAGTGGTTAGAATTTGGTCTATAGGTCAGACATGTAGATTTTTGGACGTCAATATCTAAAGAACCGTTTGAGGCATATTTATGAAATTTGAAACTGATGTATATCTTGCAAGTCTCAACACATGAGCCAAATTTGAAGTGTTAATGCACAGTAGTTTTTGAGTGATGAGGAGTCAAAAGTGGCTCAAAGTGATTCGTCTAAATATACGCACGGTGTAGTCCCCTCGCTGGAACTAGGCTTAACATGCTCCCGCATGTCTAGAATGATTGCTCAATGTTGATTTAGTCGATTTTCTCCTGATGGGAACATGTAAGACAAAAATAAAATTTCCAATATTACAGACCTTCTAGAGCAGATGCCGTGAAAACTATACAATTTATAGAAAAACTTGTTTATCTCACCTGTAGCAAATTGAATATGCTTTTTTTGGTTCAAAGTAGTCATGTCACTAGGACGCATAGTTTCCGAGGATTAAGCGAAAAACCGAAAAGTGGCACCTTTAAACGCCCCTCTCCCCGCCGGCTCAAGGGCTAAGGGCGGGGACTTTTGCTATGTTCACCTCCTAACTAGTCTAAATAAAGTCCTGAAGTCAGAAATTGTGTTCTACAGTTTTCCATCTATAATGCTTTATTGACTGGACTATCAATCTAAAATATAATAATAATAGTGATATCTAACAAATTGCCTTTGTCATTGGCATGAAATGTATTTTTCTTTTTTCAAGGTCCATTAACTTTATGAAGTAACGTTGATGTAAAAACACGGCAATCAAACGTATCATTTTAACATTTAATGAAGTCGATGTATATTTTGCATAGTTTGATAACAGAATAAAAAAATCTGAAGAGAACTGAAATTTAATGTAGAGACAGGTTCAATTCATACATCCATCCTTGTCTTAAGCAACGTGCTATATTATTTGGTTCGCATTTTTATGGCGAGGGGACATTATGCACCGGCCCGAGGTGAATTTTAAGTTCATTATAATATTCAATATATTTTGTATTATATTGGGGTGGAGGAATGACGGTCGTAAACCCATTGTATACCAATTGCAAATTTTATGTCATTATGGGTAATACTCGTATAATACTTTGGTTTAATGTTATGTAGATTAAGTGTTTTGTAAAGTTATTCACCAACTATTCTTCCTTTGTGCTTTTTCTAAGATGTATTCATCTAATTTTTATGCCACGATTCGTTTAGTTTAATATTTAGGATGATCTTTTTCGTTAATCGTGTGGGTCTTGATGGGTAAAAAAAACTTAATGAGCCGCCATACTTATTTTTTGTGAAAATCAGGTTGCTTCAATCTTGTAACGTCTCAAGCAAACTGGGCACAAATACACAAAATGATTTTATATTACGTATGTATCACAAAAGAATCGAATACCTATCGAAGGAGAGGACGGTATTCATTCAGAACTCAATACGTGTCACACAACGAACGAAAATTATACTTATTAAATAGCAAATAATGAAATAATTTAACGCACAAAAATAAGGGGAAGAAAGTATATAACTCATTCATTAATTTCTACATGTTCCCAATGAAAGCTTCATTGTTGTGTCATAAAGAGAGTAAATCCATTCAATCTTTGAATGTAAATCATTCCACAGATGATCTCATACATGGTGTATTGGTGACCTACAAATGTTCGTCACGTGTTCCTTGACATAAATCCGAACAATATAATTGGGGAATTCATACATTCGTGCGATTGCACATTGTTCGTGACTGGCTCGCTGAGTTGCCAACACCATGCCGTAAAGAATGCAGCCAGCTAATTTTGTTTTGAACTCGAGATGCAGCTTGATATGTTAGTACCTAACTATTGATAGAATAACGGTAGTCAGTTGATATTCCCAATATTTCCTGTATAAACAAACCTACCGATAGTAGGTATCCGTTTCAAAATGAAACATTAAACGTTAAAGTTTATCAACGACACAACTGTAAACTAAAAAATATTGAAAAGTAAGTAGGTAATTATTGATAGTCAAAAATATTCATACAAATCTGATTTTATTATAAATTTTATTTTGTATGCAAATTAAAAAAAATAAAATGATAATTACTAAATTTCTGACTTCACTATACCATTTTGTTAACATGGGCTAGTATCGGTTTATAAACCCACTTACCTAACACCCTGTATCCGTGACCTTTACAATTTACTAATAATGTAAAAAAACCTTGCTGTTATGTCCTGACTTGTGCAAATACACAACAACATACAACTATGTCCGGATCTAGAAATGAATGAATATCGTGTGCTTTTTTACGACACGAAAATATTGCGTGGCAGCGGCGTGTCACGTGAGGTATTCCCAGCGTTTATTCATCCAAGCTTTACAACTTTACATTGTTCACTTCGTATAGTCAGCGTCAAATAGTTCGAAACATCCAAAAAAGTTTGCTACACGTCTTTGTTACAATTGGAATAAAGTTGTGCTGTCAACTCTTTGGCCACTTTGGGTTTTACGAACTAGGTACTTATTTGACGCTGACTGTTCCAATAGCTTTGGCAATTTAGCAAACCTGTCGTTTTATATTGATACCAAGATTGACCCTATTATCTAATTTGATTAATATTTGGTACTGCCACTATCGCAAAGATACTCAAAACTTAGGTTGGGTTGCCATCTTACTTTAACTTTGACGAACGTCAAAAATCTGTCAAACTCCATACAAAAACACCGGTTGTCATCATAGTTACAGTCAAAGTTAGGTGGTGCAACTCAGCCTTAATCATTTATTGCAATAAGTACGAAGTAGATGCTTCTAGTTCTATAACAGTCCCACATTTAGGCTGCTTTAGAAGAGCCAAAGCAGTTCAGGCAATGGTAACATTTCCAACGTATAATTATGTCATCGATAATCTAAATATATAAAAGGAGAAACTGACTGACTGACTGACAGATCAACGCACAGCCTAAACGGCTAAACGTAGGCACTTGAAATTTGGAAGGGACGTAGCTTAGGTACCGTAGAGGTGCACTAAGAAAGGAATTCCCGAAATTCCCACGGGAACGGGAATTAGCGGGAAAAACGGGATTCACGCGTACGAAGTCGCGGGCGGCCGCTAGTAATAATATATTGTTGTCCTTGTACTTTGAATAGTTTTGGCATAGAGTTAATTACCATTCATTAATATCTTCCTTGTCAAGTAAGTAAATCTGGTCTGATCAAAGAGGTGGTAAGGTGCTATTTGTAAAGTATAAGTGCCTTTATAAGAGGTTTTCTGAAAGTGGTTTTTCCTCTCTATTGT